TCCTCCCTCTGGCCGCTCATGGCCACCCCTCAAAAAGCCCAAGCCCCCCCTCCCTCGGCTGTGCTTCCCAACCTTTCTCCAGACTGGCCCAGGCCAGCCCCTCCCTCCAGCGACCGGTGCTCGGAGGGCACTGCAGGGCCGGGTCCTGCAGGGGGTCCGAGGCTCCTGATGAGGAAGGGGTTGGCCTGGGGCTGGCCCAGCCCAGCAGGGAAGATTGGCCGAAGGGTTGCTTCTCACTCTGGGTGGGGAAGAGGGTCTCTGGGTGACCCTGGGGGTCCCTGTGCATACCATTCTCCATCCACAAATTTGGCAATGCAGAAGTCCCCACGACGGGGGGTGTAGGCCCCCTCCACAGGGGGGCAGCCAGCAATCTCGCCCCGCATGCTCTCCATCAACTTCTCCAGCTGGGTCCCTGCGGGGGGGGGGGAAAGAGTGAGTCAGGCCGGCCATCTGGACAGCCATCCCCCCACGCTAGCCTGGTCATCCCCCGACCCGTGCCCACCTCTGCTTCTTGGTGGACCCGAGCCTCACCTGATCCAGGCCCCCACTGACCGCTCATGCCCTGCCCTGCCCTCCCTCCCCCTCCCCGAGACCCTCTTCCCCACCCAGAGCCTCCAGCTGTCCCCGTCTCCCTAAACCAGGTGTGGGGCAGAAGGCCAGCCCCCTCCAGCTGCCCCTCACCCGTCTCCACGTCCTGCACGTAGAAGTGGAGGTCATCGGTGACCTCCGTCACAAAGACGGGCTTGTAGTTGGCCGTGCGTTCCTTCTCCTCGGCTGTGGTCACCACGTCTTCCACGGGGGGCTCTTCATACTGTGACCACACCTGGGAAAGAGAGATGCAGGGGGGGGTGTCAGTGGGGTGAGGCAACAGCCTGCCCTGGGAGGGCACAGGGACCGTCTGAAGACTCTCCCCCCTGGGTCCAGGGACAGGCCCAGCTGGCCCAGCAGGTGCACGAAGGTCCCTCTGACCATGACGGCCACTTGCTCCTCTAGCAACTCACGCTGTCCTCTACCACGCAACCCATAATGCTCAGAAACCGCAGGCCGGATCACCTCTTCCAGTTTGGCCCGTTTGGGGCCTCAGAGGGATGAGCTGTGGGTCCTCCTCCCCGCCTGGCCCCTGCCCCGCCTCCCTTCGGGCGCTGCTTTCTCCCAGAGGGCTCCCCCGGCCCCTTCGAGACCCCCGGAGCTAATGGCTCTCCTCCAGTAGAACAGGACAGAGTGACCGAGTTGGAAGGGACCTTGTAGGTCATCCAGTCCGGCAGACCCAGATGCTGCCCAACCGCTGCTCCTCCCGTGAGAGTTCTTCTTCTTGGGGAGAAGCAACTCTGCCCTCCCCGGCCCCTGGTGACCATCGGGCCATTTTCTCCAAGCAGCTGGTGCACTCCCCCCCTCCCGTGCTAGCCTCCCCCCCCTCCTCCTGTGCATCTTCTCCACCTGCTCCAGGGCCTCTTCGCCCGGCCTCTGTTTGGCCTCCTGCCTCTGTGAGGCCTACAAAATCTCCTTCGCCTTCCTGAATTCAGGCTTCCGCCCTGGTCACAAATCGCCCCCGCTGCTTCCCAGCTGCTCAGGATTGGGAGACTCTGTGCCCGGGTGGGCTCCTCCCCCCTTCCCCCCCACGGCATCTGGGGTTGCCTTCCTTCCTGTGTGTTCCTCCTCCACTGCCTACACCTAAGGACCCCCTCAGCACCTGCCCCAGGGGCCTTTTCAGCCTTCCTCCCATTTCTTTTGAGGCTCAGCTCATCCCTTGCCAAGAGCCCCCCCCCTCTTGGTAACCCATCAGCCACTCCCCCGACCCCGTCTGTCCAGCCAGATGTTTCTCTCTCTTCCTGGGCCACGTCCTTCAACAGGGGGGGATGAAGACAAGCCCCCCCCGTGTCCCTCACCCTCTTGTCCAGCACCCCTCAGTCCCTGCACACTGTCTGCAGGGGTGGGGCTGTTGGCGCGATTCTTTCTCCCAGGGGGGGAAGTCCTCCCATCCCGTTTTCTTGATGGCCTGAGAGGTCTGCAAGCCCCCCCCCCCAGCCAGCAGGTAGAGCTCCCCCTCTTCTGGTCAGCCCAGCCATTGCTGCCTCTCAGAAGGGAACCTGACCACTCCCAGCCTTCTCCTCCGCCCCCCCCTCAGCACCAGGTAGAACGCTTCCCATCATCCTGAGCCCTGGGCTTGGGACCGTTCCTCTTCATCCAGCCCCCCCTCCCCCGCGAGGTCCGTTCTGAGCCTCTGGGTTATTCCTCTGCAGCTCCCACCTGCCCTGCCTGTCCCCCGCCCCCTCCCTTTATTGGGGCCTGTGGCAGCTCTTCCCCATTGGAACAGGTGTCCCCTGGGAGGAAGACGGCCCCAAACACGGCTCTTCCCACAGGCCTTTTGGGGTGAACCGGAGGGGGGGGGGCGTCCCACTGATGGCTGCTTTAATTTCAGCCACTCTTTACTATTCAAACGGCAACGAAGTTATAGATTTTAGGATTCGATTGCTTTTAATACCGACTTGTACTGTTTGATAATGCCGTAAGCCGGCTAAGTTGCTGGCCGTAGATAAATCCCATAAAGCAGCAGACAGAATCCCTCGTCTCTGCCATCTTGGCTTCTGGAGGCTCCCCCCTCCCCGCCCCAACTCCACTTGCCTGGCATTCCCCCCCCAGGAGGGAATTTGCCTGTGCCTGAAACCCTGGGGGGGGGGAACAAGCCAGGCCCCCACTTGCAGCCTGTGAAAGCCGCTCCTTCCGCCTCCATCTTCTGCCAGGAACCAGAGGGGGGCCTGGCCTGATTCCCCCCCCCCAGTTTCCTTCCCCTGGTGACCTTCAAGGTCTCCTCTTGGAAAGGAGGGGGAAGAGATGATGCCTTCAAGTTCTCCGTTTCCTCTGCCGCCCATCCGAAATCTGCAGGATGGGGGCAGGTGCCACGGAAGAGCACCTGCCAGGGGCAGCCACAGCAGCCGGTGGGGGGAGGGTCCCAACCAGAAGTCAGGAAGATGAGCCCCACGGGGGGGGGGGCAGGACACTGACCCGATGCTTGCGAGGAGGAGTTGGATGGCAGCCTCCTCTCCATGGCCAAAATGAAGGCATGCAGGGGAAGGTGGACGCTCCTCCCTCTCGGTCAGGCCACTGCTTGGGCCCTTCCTGGCGGGCTCCCCAGGAGGCTGCCTCGGTGGCCAAAGGATCCGGTCCCTGGGGCCTGCTGGGCGGGGGAGGGCTGCCCGTGCTGTCCCCACTCCCTCTCTGTGTGCCTGAGGACGCCTGGCAGTGGGGGAGGGACGCAAGGCAGGGTCCCCAGCCCCTTTTGGAGCAGCAGAGCTTGGAAAAGGGAGTGAACTGCTGAACACCAATGCCAAGCCCCCCCCCCCAGCGCTCTGAGTAGCAGCAGCAGCAGCCCTGCCGGGAGGCCACCCTCCCCCACCCCCCAGTGCCCGGCTGGTACCTTCTCCTTCTTCTGCTTGGCGGCGGCCTCGGCCACCACCAGGGGCTTGTAGTAGTTGCTGCGCTCGGCCGTGAAGTGCACCTTGGAGAGGGCCTGCTCCACCAGCGCCACGGAGAGGTTGACGCCCTCGATGTGCAGCCACCCGATGAAGTTCCCGGCCTTGTCCATGCCCTCCACTTCCACGTCCACCTGCAGGGGGCAGAAAGCAGCGGGCAGCTGTGGGAGGGCGGGCAGGCAGCTCCCCAAAGGCTCCATCTCCCCCAGCCACGCCATCCCCCCCACAGAGGTGTCCCCCCTCCTCCAGAGGGAGGAGTTTCCTAAGACCCCCACCCACCCCCTAGCCCAGGGTCTCCTCATGAGAAAATGCCTGCTTGCATAAAACCAGCCCTCGCCCTCGTCACCACAAACACTTGTACACCTTTCAGGTGTTTCAAGCTCGGTTAAGCAATGGAGCGAACGTCCCCACAGCCTCCCCACAGCCCTCAGCCGCCTCCGCAGATCGGCCTCCCTCCCAGGGCTGCAAGACACGTCGAACACACCACGCCGATCCACAAGCGGCCAGGTCCCCACCGAGGGAGGCTTGCGAGGGCAACTTGTGGGAGAGACTGGCTCCAGCCTGCCTTCCCCAGCCCAGCAAGAGGGTCTCGGGGGCCTGTCCGAAGGGCCCACTTCTGTGGCTGTCCTGGCACAACTGGGCCCGAGGGCTTCTCTGCCAACCCTCACGGGTGCTGCTCAGCGGGAGGCAGATGACAGGTTCCTTCTGTCCATCAGGTGGGGCCCTTATCAGGAAACTGTGAAGGCTGCCAATCAGGCTCAGGGCAGGCGGGCGTGTGGAGCACCGCCCGAGGGAGTCTAAAGCTGGGGTCTTCCTTGTGGGCCCCTCCTCAAGGATACCAGCTAATGCAGATGCCTGGCCCTTCGGCTCTGTTCACCCCTCCACCAGCGGAAGAAGGGCCGGGCTGATGCCCCAGCACCTGTGGGGAGAATCCTGGAGCCAACCAGCCAAGGTGGGGGGGGGGAACAGCCGACGGGCTTGGAGGAGAAGGGTCCTCTCAAGGGAAGGGGCTGCCCGCCACGGCCAACTCACAGCACCTCAATGGGCAGGGATCCCTACAGTTGACCAACTTCTAATTCGGCCATCCTTTGGTCTCTCTCAAATGCCTTTCAGTGAGAAAGCAGCCTTGGTTGGACTCCGCAGAGACTTCATCGCCATGCCCACCCCTTGCCCAGCTGCCATGCACGGATGCCTCCGCCCGCAGCTTCCTCTGGAGAGCCTGGTGCCCCTCGCCCCCTGCTCCACCTTGGCAACCAGCTCACTGGCAGACAAGGGCCTCCACAGGGCCCAGAACGCTGGCCCCGTCCTCCTCTGTTCACCTGGCACCAGGGCTCGTGTCTGCCCAGACTGCCCTGCTGGCTGCCCGTCAGAAAGGGGCCAGATCCTGAGGGTGGAGAGCGGCCAGACTAGCCCTGAGGTGGAGCAGCCCTTTGCTGCTTTGCGAGGGGGGGGGGAGAGAGGAGAGAGAGAGGCTGCAAAATACTGCACGGTTTTGCAAGGGCAGCATTCAGGTGGGAGGGGGCATCAGCTATGACCCTCGGGAGCCCCCACAGCTTCAACCTGGCCAAGGGGCCAGAAAGTATCACTCTGAAAGCAGGCAGGAGTCTCGAAGAAATGGGCCTTCCAGGGCCGTCCCTGAGTAGTTGTCAGGCCTCGACACTTCCTGGCATTAAACTGGCTTCCCCTTTCTGACTGACTTTATAGATGCTTATTCTGTATTTTTAATTGTGGCTTCAAATGCCAGTGGCATTTTTCACCTGTGTTTAGCTACTGGTTGCCACCAGGAGATTTTAAGGAGGAGGTAAGCACGGCCAGGTTCCAAAACCCACACTGCAAAAGTGACTTCTTAGTGAGAGCAGCGTCCAAACCCAAGATGGGAAAAGAATTCAGGAGAAATCTGGAGGAAGAAATCCTGCAGGAGAATTGCTTAAGATAAAAGCAGGAGCCCACCTGGCGCCCACCAGCTCCGCTTCAGGCAGGCTGAGATGCCAGGATGGCAGCAGCCTTTCACTCTGAAAGGAAAGAGGGGAGGCCGGGTGGGCAGGAGACCCCCAGTGCCAGGCCCAGCAAGGGCGAAGTTGCAGTGGCCGGGCGGTGCCAGCTGAACAGCAGAAGAAATGGGGACACCGCACAGCCCCAAGGCCATCACAGGAGGATCCCTGCCAAGGTTGAGCAGGAAGGCGGCACCCCTCCCAGCCCGAGGGAGGAAGCGGACGAGTTTGAATTTCAGAAACCAGCCCGGATTAGCCACACTTGGGTGCCCCGCGGCTCACTCAGGCGGCAAGGGCAGAAGCCGGCCAGGCAAGCCAGCCAAAGGAAGGGCTGAGCCTCGCTGGGCTGCTGGGCAGAACCCTCCGGGTGACCCTCCAGGCCAGCGAGCCAAGGCAGGAATCCCCCCAGGGAGGAGGTGGGGAGAGGGGAGACCAGCCCCACTGTGCACCACGGCCCGGTCAGCTCTGGGTCCTGAGCCATTTCCCCCCTAGACCTGCTGGCACTCCAGCTCTGCTCCCCAGGCACCCCTGCGCTGTGCCTCTCCAGCCTGCCGCCCCCCAATTTGTGCAAGGCCAGGAGAATGACCCCCCCCCAGAGGTTGGAGGGGTGAGACGGTGGGTGAGATCGGCGTTCTTCTAGCACTGAATCCGGGCTTCCAGAGCAGCCCCAGAGCCTGAGCCCCAGGCCTCTTTTCCCCTCCACAGGCGCTCAGCACCCATGGTCTTGATTTTTAAAACTTTGATGATGATTCTTTCTTTTGTGTAACTCACAGTTGCCTTTCTGTTCCAAGCTTTTTCCTTTGACTGACTTAAAAACATGGTTTTTTAAATTCCTATTATTTTATGGCAGAAAAGAGAGAACCGCAAATCCAATAAATGACCACACAATTCTGTTGAGAAAACAGAGAAACTGCTTGGAGTGCAAAGTGATGATGGGCTCCTTTCTCCCTTCAATTAAGACACTCTCTCTCCCTCCCTCTCCCTCTCCCTCTCTCACATACACACACACACACACACACACACACACACACACACACACACAGCAGCAGACTCTCACCCTGCTGGTTAATCCTAACTACCTCTTGCTTTCTCCCACAGCCTCAATGCAGCTGGATGTCCCTGAAATGCAGAAAACCAGCAGCCCCACTTAGCCCACCCCACACCCTTCCTGTCCCCCATAACCACACTTGGGCAAGAGGCGGAGGGCGACCCACAGACCGGTCCAGCACTCCTGAAGGGGAGCCCAGCACCAACTCCCCCCAGCTGCAGCTCCCTCCCAAAGCAAGACTGGGCAAGGGGGTCTGGTCCCCTGAGCCCGCAGCAGGCCCTACCCTGGCCTTGGTCCCCCCCAGGCAAGAGAGGCGCCCCCCAATGCCCAGCAGCCTCTGTCCCCAGGGGAGGCCCCATCCTTTTCTGGGACAGCAGGAACTCTTCTGAGCAGCTACGGAGGAGCGAGGTCCCAGGCGGGCGCCGCCTCCCGCCGGCTTCGGTTCTCTAGCGCGGGGTCCCGCTCCACCACCCCAGGCCCAGGCGGCCCCAGCAGGGCTGCAGTGGGGAGGTGGGCAAAAAGGGGTCTCCGCCCGCGGCTCGCCGAAGGGCCTGAGCAGAGGCCGCCCCCTCTGCAGTCGGCACTTTGCCCGCGGCCCGGGCCTTTTCCCCGCCGCCGCTCCGCTCATCGGAGGGCTGCGCGGCTGGCCGCCTTCCCCGCGAACCCCGGAGGGAGGCGGCGAGGCGAGGGGCGGCGTTGCCTGCGCCGAGCGAAGCCGCCCGCCCGCTTGACGCGGCCGCCCTGCCTGCCGAGAAGCCCCTGCGTCAGCAGCAGCAGCAGCGGCGGCGGCGGCAGCAACGGCGGCCGCGCTGGCGGCGGCGGCGGCGGAGTGAAGGACAAAAGGATGCGAGAGCCGCCCAGGCGGCTGCTACCTGCGCCAGCCCCGGGAGCCGAGAGGGGGGCCGCCGCCAGCCGCGGCGCCGGCTTAGGATGGTCCGGGGCTCTGCCGCTGCCGCCGCCGCCCCCGCACGCCCGCCTCCGCCTCCCGCAGCAGTCGCCGGGCGCCGCTGAAAGCTGCAGGCGCGGCGGGCTGCAGGTGCCGCAGCTCCCCACCGCCGGGCCCCGGGGGGCCTCCCGCCGCCTCGCCCGGGACGCCCGCTCGCCGCCCCGCGCCCCTCCGCCCTAGGCGCTGCGCTCCGCCGGGCAGGCAGCGGGGCGAGAGGGAGCCGGAGCCGCCGCCGCCGCGCCGGCCATGGAGCTGCGTCCCCCGCAGCGCCCCCACCGCCGCCGCCGCCAGCCCTTGTCCCGCCGCCCAAGGACGCGCCCGCACAGCCTCGCCGCCGTTCGCCCGGGCGCCCAGCGCGGAGTGCCGCGGCGGCCGCCCGCCCCTCGGGAGGGCTGACTCGGGCCCCGGGCGACCCGCCACCGCCTCCGGCCGGCCGGCCCCTCCCGCCCTGTCCCTCCCCCCCCCCGATGGAGAACGGCGGCGGCGGCGGCTGCCGGGTCCAGCCGGGCTAAGGCAGGAGGGCGGCTCGCCCCGCCGTCGGCTCCGAGTCCCCCGCGATGGCGAAGAATGCTGGCGCCGCACCATGAAGCTCCTGCGGCAGGCTCGGCCGCAGCCCGCCCGGAACGCCGCCCCGCTCGCCTGCCTCGTGGCGCAAGCGTGGCTGGTGGCGTGCGCCCTGGCGGCCAGGCCCGGGCCGCAGAGCTGCCCCTCGGTCTGCTCCTGCAGTAGCCAGCTGAGCAAGGTGGTCTGCACGCGGCGGGGGCTGGCCGAGGTGCCGCCGGGCATCCCCTCCAGCACCCGCTACCTGAACCTGATGGAGAACAGCATCAAGGTGATCCAGGCGGACACCTTCCGCCACCTGCACCACCTGGAGGTGCTCCAGCTGGGGCGCAACGCCATCCGGCAGATCGAGGTGGGAGCCTTCAACGGGCTGGCCAGCCTCAACACCCTGGAGCTCTTCGACAACTGGCTGACGGTGGTGCCCAGCGGGGCCTTCGAGTACCTGTCCAAGCTGCGGGAGCTCTGGCTGCGCAACAACCCCATCGAGAGCATCTCCTCCTATGCCTTCAACCGCGTCCCGTCCCTCATGCGCCTGGACCTGGGTGAGCTCAAGAAGCTCAAGTACATCTCGGAGGGGGCCTTTGAGGGGCTCTACAGCCTGAAGTACCTGAACCTGGGCATGTGCGCCATCCGGGAGATGCCCAACCTATCCCCTCTGGTGGGGCTGGAGGAGCTGGAGATGTCCGGCAACACCTTTCCGGCCATTAAGCCGGGGGCCTTCCACGGACTGAAGTCACTCAAAAAGCTGTGGATTATGAGCGCCCAGATCAGCCTGATCGAACGCAACGCCTTCGACGACCTCACGGCGCTGGTGGAGCTCAACCTGGCCCACAACAACCTCACCTCTCTGCCCCATGACCTCTTCGCGCCTCTGAGGTACCTGGTGGAGCTGCACTTGCACCACAACCCCTGGAACTGCGACTGCGACATCCTGTGGCTCTCCTGGTGGCTGCGGGAGTACATCCCCACCAACTCCTCTTGCTGTGGGCGCTGCCACGCCCCCACACACATGCGGGGCAGGTTCCTGGTAGAGGTGGACCAGACGGCCTTCCAGTGCTCGGCCCCCTTCATCATGGACGCCCCCCGGGACCTCAACATCTCCGAGGGGAGGGTGGCCGAGCTGAAGTGCCGAACCCCGACCATGTCCTCCGTGCGGTGGCTGCTGCCCAACGGGACGGTGCTGAGCCACGCCTCCAACCACCCCCGAATCTCCGTCCTCAACGACGGCACCCTGAACTTCTCCCAGGTTCTCCTCACGGACACGGGGCTATACACGTGCATGGTCACCAACGTGGCAGGGAACTCCAATGCCTCGGCCTACCTCAACGTGAGCACGGCTGAGCTCAACACGTCCAACTACAGTTTCTTCACCACGGTCACTGTGGAGACCACAGAGACATCGCCCGAGAACATCTTCCCCAAATTCACCAAGCCGGTGCCGACCACCTCTACGGGCTACCAGCCGGCCTACACCACCACCACCACCGTGCTCATCCAAACGACCAAAACGCCCAGGCAGGACGCCACCTTGGACAGCAACGACAAGATGCAGACCAGCCTGGACGAGGTAATGAAGACCACCAAGATCATCATCGGCTGCTTCGTGGCGGTGACCCTGCTGGCGGCAGCCATGTTGATCGTCTTTTACAAACTTCGCAAGCGTCACCAGCAGAGGAGTACGGTGGGGGCCGCCAGGACCGTGGAAATCATACAGGTGGACGAAGACATTCCGGCCTCGGCGGCGGCAGCGCCCACCACTGCCGCCACCGCCACCCCTTCGACCGCGTCCGGCATGTCAGGTGAGGGGGCAGTTGTGCTGCCGGCTATTCATGACCACTACAACACTTACAAACCCTCCCAGGGGGCCCACTGGACAGAAAACTGTTTGGGGAACTCTCTGCACCCCACGGTCACGACTATTGCCGAACCGTATATAATACAGACCCACCCCAAGGAGAAAGTGCAGGAAACTCAGATCTGACTCCTTTCCTTGCCCCCCTCCCCCGGCCTTTATTAAATAAATGCAATAGGATGCACAAGAGACAAAACCAACTTTCCTACCCAGAGGGAGGAGGGCAGTCCCCCCAGTATATGCTTCTATATTAAGTCTTGGGCTGAAAGGAGAAGCAGATTCTACTAAAATGTAAAGAAAGGCCTATTTTCTCAGTTGATAGCTGTATTGAGAAGGAAGCGTAACTCAAGAGTCCCCCCACCTCCCCCCCCAGAGACAGAGGCACAGTTCCCCATGGCGAGTCGGCAGCAGACCTATTTAAAGCGAAAACATAAAAACAGCCTTGCTCCCGAAAACAGTGGCGGAGAAGATAAAACAGAAAATTTCAAAACCAAGGAACCGTGGGGGGGGGGAGGGAGGGGGGAGTTGTTCTTTTTAGAAGATGTTACTTAGAATGCAGTAAAAACAAACCCGTTTCTATAGAGACGCTCTTTTCTTAAAGCCTTGGAAAAAGCCGTCTCCATATTTACAGTTATCTTATTTCAAAAAGACAAAAAGGGGGTGGGAGGGCAGGGGGAGGTGCACCGAGGGTTTGTACTGTGCCAAATGTTACAAATGCAATAAAAAGGTCATTTTTATTTATTTCGTTTTTTAAAGACAGTTACCAGAAGGGAATTCAATACTTGTATCAAATTGCAAAAAAATTAAACCAGCAAGATTCATTGCTCTGTCCTCTCTCGGTGAGGATCATGGGGGGGGGGAGGCGGGGAGAGGGAGATTGCACAGGGTTGGGGGGGGCAGTGTTTCTGAGCTGCTTGCTTGCTCTCCTTCCCCTCCAGAGGGAAAAGAGGGGCTGCTTTGGTGCCCACCAGCTTCTCTCTCTCTCTCTCTCTCTCTTGCAAGCCCTGCGCCGCATTCCTGCGGTCCTGTCCTCTCGGTTAACCCTCTCGGGGCGCAGGGCCTGGTGCACGGAGGAGGAGGAGGAGGAGGAGGAGGACATGCCAGGGAAGCCAGTGTGGTGGGTGGGCACCCCATGTATGATCCCGCCCCCCCTTCCCTCCCTGCGCTGCTCCCCCTCCACCCTCCAGCTGCTGCTGCTCTGCCCCTCCCATCTATCGGAGGGCACAAGCCCTCTCTGTCTGCTTCCCCAGGGGAGGGAGATGCGCCCACCCCACTCCCATCACATCCTCCTGTGGGGATGGGCAAACTCTGCCTCCCGGGCTATGAAACCCCCCATTGTCCTGAGCCTGGCTCTCTCGGGCCTTGGGGGGAGGCGGGGATCGGGGCCATGGGCAGAGAGGGGGAAGGCAGGGAAGGAGGGGGGCTGCTGGCCCCAAAGGCAGAAGCTGCAACTGGACGTTTCTATTTTAATAAGCCTTGTTGAGGTTTTTAAGAATGCCTTGTCCCTAAACAGCCACCTCGAATGACAAAGGTGGGGGAGGGGGGAGAGCAGCCCCAGCCTCAAAGATTTGGGACCCCGAAACTGCCGGGCTAGGCTGAAGGGCAGAGGCCCACCAGGATAGGGCAGGCGAGCAGGGAGAGACCCTCCTCCAGTCAGGTCCAAGGAGCCCCTGGGACTCAAGTTGGCCGCTTCCCTTCGGCTGTTACAAGTGCAGTGGCTGGGGGGGGGGATCCCGGAAGGCAAGGTGCCCCCCATGGAGAGGAGGCAGTCCCCCTCCCTGGCGCCCAGCCAGAGACAAGGTAGTCACACACTCACACAGACACGGGGGGGGTTCCTTGGAAAGGAGGCCCTGGCCGTGGGGCTCAGCTGCTTCTGGATGACCTCCTGGTCTCTTGGGGGAGGGTCTCCCCCACAGGAGCTCTTCAGCCTTCAATCAGGACAGCCCCCCAAGGGGATGGGGTCCTGGAGGCCTTGGGCCCAAAGGGCGATGCTGCACCTGAGCCAGCTGGGCAGGAAGGGGGGGAGCAAGAGGGCTACTTCCTGGGGGGGGGGCAAAGATCCTGGTCTCATTTTGGCCAGATGGCTGGCCCAGGAGAGTCCCCACTGGCAGTGGCCTCCTCCCTCCCCAGGGCCCGTCAGCTCTGCAGGGCTCAGAAGGAATGCACCCTCCCGCTGGGGCAAAACCAGGGCCAGCTGCCCTCCGCTTGGCCTCCTTTCCCGAAGACCAGAGAGAGAGTCCCTCAAGGAAGGGCCCCATCCGGTTGTGTCTCCGGCACCCCTTTGGGCGCCCTGCCTTGCTGACCCCCCCCCGCTAGCAATTTGGGACTGGGTCTCCAGCCCTTGCTCCCTGCCAGCACATCCCCCCTCCGCCCCACTAAGTGACAGTTTTCCTCTAATGGGGGGAGGGGGCAGGGGGTTCCCCTGAAGAAATGGGGAAGGCGAGGAGGGCAGAGCAGATTTTGCCTTGCGAGGGCAGCAGCCCCAGAAGATCTCCTGCCAGAGCTACAAAAGGAGAAAGGGCCGGAAGGGAAGTGGCCAAGCCAGCTCTTTCTGTCCTCTGAAAGCTGACTCTGCAGCTGACTGCTGGGGCCTGGGGAGGGAGGGGGGCCAGCTGCCACAGCATCCAACTCAGGGGCTGCTGCTGCTGCTGTTGGGCATCCAGGCAGCACAGAAGGCAGAGAGAGGGGGAGAGAGAGAGAGAGGGCCATTCTCTGGCCAGGGAGCCAAGGGGACCAGAGCCTGGATAGGGGGAAGCAGCCAGAGGACCCCTGCCCCCTCCCCAAGAGGCCCTGGGGCCAACACCCTTTGTCACAGGCTCAGGAGGTTGTGTGGATTCAGAGGGGAGGAGCGCACAGGTGGACGAAGGCAGGTAGGGGGGAGGCAAGCCGGTTCCCAGCCTGAACAGGGCCCCCTCTGCCCCCCCTCCCCGGCCCATCACCCCACCAAACCCCAGAGCAAAACATGACATCACAACAAACCCACTAAGAGTAATTATAATCAGCACCACTAAAAGAGTGAAGCAGAAGCTGGAAAGAGAAAACTCGTGTTGTGCTCCAGATGAACTTAGCGGATTCAAATAGGCCACGAAGGGGCTGCAATTGGCTCAGAACTAAGGGGCGCCTGGGCAGCGGGTGTCAATTCCCCAGGAAGAGTCCCGCTGGGCCCCCCCCAGGTCATCCCCTGGGCAGCTCAGAGCAAAAGCCCCCGGGGGCTGTTTGGGAGGAAAGGGGCCCCGGGGAGCCCCAGAATGCCTTCCCTTCCTGTTCCTCTGCTTCCCCCCCCCCCCCGTCTCTCTCAAGCCTCAGCTGATGGGGGGGGACGCTTGGTCCGGCCAGCCATGCCAGAAAGCATCTCTGCCCCCCCAGGGCCACTCCAGCCCTCGGCCCCCAAAGCAAGGGGGCAAGGGGTCCAGCCTGCCTTGGCCCCCTCTCCCACTGCACCACCTTGGCAAAAGCGAGGGGCTCGGGAGGACAGCTTTGCCTCCCCGTGTCCCCCCCTCCCCGCTGACACAGGGAAGCATGAGATATGTTTAAACTTTGATCCACTGTTTTTAATCTCCATATTTTATGGTGTTCAGGGGGCTGTATTTTTGTTAACATCATCCTCACTGAGGCATCACTTCAGGATTTACTGTTGACAGAGCCCCGGAGAGTCCCTGCCCAGGAGAACCGATGGCTCCGGCCTCCCGGCACTGGAAGGCAGGCAGGCAGAGAGACAGACAGACAGACTCCAGCATGCAAATGCTTAACATCCATGTCCCCTTCAAATGCACTGAAAGGGGGCTACTAGAGAAAAGGGAGTGGGGAGAAAAGTGACCCCTCCCACTTTCCTCTGAAGGTCGACAGCTGCCGGGTCAGCTGCACCCAGCCCACGAATGAAGGGGCCAAGCTGCGCCTGAGTGGAGAGGGGCTCCTCACCCTTTCCTGAGGGCATGGCGGCCTCCTCCTCTCACCCGCCCTCCACAGGGCCCAGGGCAATGGCGGCCACATGCTCTCCAGGCCAAGCGAGGGAGGGAGGGGAGGGTGAGGGGGAGTTGGGCAGCGGCAGCCTCTGCTGGAGTCACAGGCCCAAACCGTCCCCCCACGCGGGAGCCGCAGGCAGCCCCACAACTGGCACAGCTCTCTTGCAGGAGGCACCCAGGATACGCACCTGGCAGCCAAGGTCCCTTCAGCCTGGGACAGGGGAGCAAACAAGCCAGGATCTCATCTGAGCCCCTTTCTCAGGGCCGAGACGGAAGGAAGGAAGGAAGGAAGGAAGGAAGGAAGGAAGGAAGGAAGGAAGGAAGGAAGGAAGGAAGTCTGAGCTCAGGGTGCATCCCACGCTAGACTAGGCGAAGGCGGGGTCAGACGCTTTATACGTTGACTCCTGTAAGCTCCGATAGCAAGTATTTGTAGCCTGCTGTAGGAATGTGGGATTTATAGCTTGTTAACCCAGGCCTGGGAGATTGTGGGAATCCACAAGGGGTGATTCCAAGCAATAGGTGAACTCTGTCTATTCGCCAAGGACCCCATGATGGTTTCCCCCACGTGCTCTTCCTGCTCCTCCCTCTGGGGACCAGCAATTAAAGGCAGGGAAAGGAGACCCTGGCCTCGTCCTTTCGCCTGCCCACCTCTGTCCTCAAGCCTTCTGCCAATGACCAACTGCCTCGAGGCGTTTTTTTCCTGCTGGTGATTCAGTCCTCCAGTCAGCCCGTCTTCCTGTCTTCCTGGCTCTTCTTCCCGGGGGGGGCCCTACTTCCTCCCTCCCTCCCTCTCCTAGAACGAGTGGGCAGAGTCACTCGCTTACAGACGGCCATCTTCCTTGCATCCGTCACAACAGATGCCAGGCTACCCACCACTGTTCCACTCTCCTGGGCACATCCTAGGCCACCCTCATTCCGCCTTTGGGGAACATCCATCCTCGGCAGGCGCAACCCTCTGTTTGCGCAACTTCTCCACCCTCCCATGTCTAACTTGCAGTCCTTCACTTTCTCTGTCAACCCCCCCTCCCCCCCTCCCCCGGCTGCTCTTGAATCGCAGGTCAGCTGAAACAAGCAGGCCAAGACCGGCAGCCACGGGCAGGAGGGCAAGGCAGGCGGGAGGGCACTCTTCCCTTCTGGCAGTGGAGAGTCCCAGAGGCTGCACCAGGAGCTGTCCGAGCAGTCTAGACTTGTCCAGAAGCCCACCAGAGCCTCCTCCAGAGGTGGGACCCTGCCCACTCTGTCCTCTCCCAACCCTGGGATTTAGCCAACCCCTCCCCAGGAAAAAAGCTGGAGGAAGAAGCAGGATCTCTGCCGTCTCCTGCAGGAAAGGCAGGGTGTCGATCAACCCAAATGTTCCACTGATACGAGGAGATGAAGCCCTCCGGCCCTTCCTCCCAGCCGGTGGAGCAAGGCGGACTCCAGGCAGGATCCCAAGGCAGCGTCTCTCCCCGATGGCCCTCTCTGGGGCTGCTGTCCACCTCTGAGCCCCCAGCGGCTTTTCCCACGGAGCCCCAGCCAGCTCAGACTCCAAAAGGGGCTCCCCAAAACAGGAAGGCCCCAACGCCCATCCCTGGATCACATTCAGCATTTGGGAAGTCTTCCACCCTCCGGAGCTTCTCACCGTCACTGCAGCCCTGTGTGTCCCTGGGT